TGTTGGTCAATTTCTTAGTAAGCATGCAAGCACAGTTTCAGGTGCATTTTAAAGTAGCTGTAGATTTGCGCATACATACCACGATAGGCATTTGTATGAGTTGTAATGAAGAAAAACTAATTTCTATTATATTGCACTTGTTTATTTTCAGCAAATCAACCTCTATTATTGATACGAAGGCCTTTCGTAATATTTAAGAAAGCACAACCACTCCACCTTTCAGGAAAACGGACTATTCAGTCGGTGATGCGGAAAGTTCGTTGCATAAGTATTTATCACTTTAACTCTGGCGAACCTGAAGGTCAGGCAAGTTTTCTACCTCCATAAGTTCGCTCTTCAAGAAAATGCTCGTACAGAAATAGTTTAATGTGGAAACTACAAAATAAGCCATTATGTAGGAATTCTGCGATGTTTATCGGTTTTCAGGTTCCAATTAGAAAATAAGGTAACTTTTCAACGCTTAAGCAGTTGCCATGATTCAGGCTAACTTTGTAGGAGAAAGTGGTTGCATGTGGATGAATTTAAGTCATGCTTTAAAATAAAATCACCACCACTGCCGAATGCTGCCTCACCGGAAAGCCATCAACTTCTTGGAAATGCTCTTTTGTTGAAGCTTTTCGCATCTGACTGTTGAAAGAAAGCATCTTGTAGGTCATAACAATCGTGATCCAGTTTCTTCCCTCGGTTTTTTATTTTACATTTTATCTCAAAAAAATCTATGAAATTCAAACTTTAAAAATTCAGGTCTTCTGATGCATATGTCTCTAAGTTACTATGCATAGTATCAAATGGCTTCTTTAAAGATAATGAGGCTTCTTCATGAACATGTGAATGATCCCCTACTGATTTTGTTGGAGATTCATTCAGATATAGGATTATTGTGCGGTCTTCTTTCGTTTTACTGAGTTGAAATCATCCTCTGGACAACAATCATAAGTTTTCGTTCATTCATTTGAAAAAGTTGTTCATTTTTACAAGTACAAAACTCCGGCACTGTAGAAGAATTTAATTCCAGATTTGATTTGTTTATTTGATTTATTACACGCAGTAATACACTACTATTTACTTGATGACGTTCTGAGCATAAATTATTATTGCTCATAATCCTACCAGTGTGTTCACAGTAATTTCAACATCTGATTTTTATAGCCGTATCATCTCAAATTCTTTCCTTTTAGTGGTAGTAAAACATTCCGTATCTCCGGTATAGGTGTTGTGTCATTTCCAATATATGCATTGGGTGTTGATTCGACGAACAACGACTCAGTAGTCAATTTTCCTTTCTCCACTTATTTATATTGTATCTGAGTGCAATGGTTTTATCCCACACGACCAATAACGTGACTGTGTGTTAATGCATTTATTATTTGTCGCCATTTCACTCTTTTCTCCGCAGTCTTTACAACTTGGTTCCACCACTGCGCAAAAGATTTCATTTCCTCCTCACGTGATCTCCTCCATGCCACACTCAGGCGCCCAGCTCATTATTTCCCGCTTCGGTTCCACTCGAGGGTCTCGTCTGGGATGACGCGCGATGTCCATATACGGTCTTCTTAGAGTATGTCCAATCCACTTTCCTCTGCATATTTGTAGGGCGATAGTTTTTTGGCTGGTTCGTTGCCACCCTGAGTAAGTTCCTTGATGCTTATTCTTGTTATTCTAGCCATCTGACCTTCAGTGTCAGCATCAAGTGAGCGTAGGTGGCAGCTGGTGATGTGATGTATGTCTGCAGTTTATTGGAAATGCTTTTCGTAACGCACCAAGTCCCTGAACTATAGCATAGAAGCACTGACTTGACTGGATTAGTGTTGAAAATATAGATTTTGTTCTTTATGTGGAGTGCGGTAGATCTCCAGTCGGTAGGTACCTTTCCTTCCTTCCTTCCAAGCCCTCTGCAGTAGTAGTGTGAGTATGTCCGCTATTGTCTCTGAGTCTGATTATGGTGCTTCTGGGGGATTTCATATGGTCACACTCCTTTCCCGGCTTTCAGTAACTTTATGGCGTTCAGGATTTCGGCTTTTATCGGAAGGGTTCGCGTTCACTGATTTTTCTATGGCTGTGTTCCTGGTGGTATTTCTGACAAATTTGCAGGTGGTGGTGGTGGTGGTGGTAAATTCAAGAGTTATTTGAAGTTATCAGCCCATCTTTTCCTCTCTTTCTCCTTTGTATTAACTAACTTTCTTTCACTGTCTTTCACTGATTTCATGTGTGTTGATCTCTTCTCAGATGGTAACCTTGTTATTTGATCAATTGTAATCAGGTCTCTCCAACTTGCAGTGTTATTCTCCATTGTTGCTTCTTCGCCATCATCCTTTTCCTGCTTTACCAGCTTCCATGTGTCCGTGGAAATCAGTTCCATGTCTTGTCTTGCTCCTTCCTTACAGGTATGCAAAACGCTCAAATCAACTTGAGTTTTTTCAGTTAATTGAAGAAAAGATATGAACAACCTTCAAGTATTGAATTTAATGCAGTTCATTCAAACGCAGGAAACCGGACAATTGCATCAAAATAATATTATTTAGGACGGTAATAGTGCTTGTCAAAAAACTACTGCTTAGAAACCAACTCAAGTGGATATTTTCTTGTATTGTAATGCTTGTTCATCTGCGTTTTTCAGGAGTTGAAATTTTCCATACCTTACTTTTGGGATTCTGATTAATCTGATCCTGATTACCTCCTAAAATCAAGCCCCAAATAATGTGCATCGTGATACTGAATCGCATAGCTTTATGAACACACCACGAAATGATCGAAAGAAGTTGATTAGAACCTAAAATACGATAATATCGAATTGGTTACTTACCAGTGACCAACCGATGTTTCCAGTTACTCGTAATTAATTTAGCTATGGAGTACTATCTATAAAATGTTTAAACAAGTTATGAATAGCTTCAGGACTGCAGACAAATACATGAAACTAGTTCGTTTGAAAATGGATCCAAAAAAGTAATCTTTTTGTGAAAAAACTTCAACCACACACCAAGAGCTAATTAATAGGGGTAGACATACTCTTTCCTAAAAAGATGCCTTACGCATGGAATTCGCCTATTGTAGGCATTTTCATTCTTTATTACAACACGTGGTGTCATTGAGGCATGTTTATATCTTACTTGCTGAGATCTATCTATTCACTTAATGCTTGTATAGACTTATGTTAATCAGGACCATATGTAATTTAAGTAGTTATGTTCTTACAAATTAATGAGATGAAATGAATTTATAAAAAATGTCAGAATAGTGAAACCTTACACATTTTTGCACACATAGTCTAAAGTTTGCAGAAATAATATCGCGAAAAATTTAACTTTAAACTACATACTTTAATAGAATGATTTTAAAAGTAAGCCCTTAGTGAGCGAGAAAATGAACAACTGTGTTGAAACCGGAACATGCCGACAGTTTCCTCATATATATATAAACTCAGTAGTAGGTGTAATCCAATTCACTTACGAGGTGGAAAATGAACGAGGAGAATTATTTATGTTGGGTTACAAGATAAAACGAAAATCAGATGGTAGTCTGGATACTACCGTCTGCAAAACCAGATATATTCCAACAAGTATCCAGACTTTAAGTCATCAAATCGAATGTCAGTCAACGCAGGTTTAGTCAGACGTGTAAATAATAGAGCTAAAAAACTGGCCAGACGGAGCGAAGAACTAAGCGAGGAACGGAAATACATAAAAGAGGCACTAATAATTAATGAATATCCTCTACAGTTTATTAAAAATTTCTTACGAACACACGAGAAACAAAATAATAACTGCAACATGAGTAGAAAGGAGTTTACAACCCCCATTGTGCTACCCTATAAGGAAAAAAGACCAAAAATTTACGTCAGATCCTTAACAGAGAAGAAATTACGGTGGCATTTAAACCCGAAAACTCATTGAAAGATAAAATTTGTCAGCTGGCTTAAGTATCCTTTAGGTCCAATCAAGCAGAATAATCTAATCTATGAAATTACGTGCAGTGATCCGAGGTCAAGTACATAGGTCAAACTAGTCGGTCGAAACCTGTTAGAATAGTGGGACATAGGGATTTAGCTAGATATAAAATAACAGACCTGAATATCACCAGTAATCTAGAAAAATATCCCCATTATTGCACTGCCTACTTTACTAGTTCATTAGTTACTAGACGGTCCTAAACCCAGATAAAGAGGGAAGGTTTACAATAAAGCTAGCAACCCTGCACCGGAAAGCCAATCGAATCTCTACAGAAACTTCAAAGCACAAATAAAATATAAAAAATAAAAACGAACTTATTCCTCGCTGGAATCGCGGAAACGAAATGACGCCGGTTGGTGAAAGCCTTCAGGAAGCCAATTGACCTATGTATCTTCTCTTCCCTCGATGAAAGCAAAAGAAAGAATGGGGACATGGAATGTCCGCACAATGTTTGAAGCTGGCTTGAAAGGTTCCTCAGATTGCTAAAGAGATGAGAACGTATGGCATAAAAGTGCTTGGAATCTCTGAAAGCAGGTGGAATGGAAGTGGACTCTCCCAAATGTCAACTTTAGATTCAATAATCTACTTCCATATTGTCAAGCAGACGACAACCACGAGCACACTGAGTTTTGGAGTAGCTATCACAATGTCTCCAACAGCATCAAAGGCTCTTCTACAGTGAGAACCAATCTCCTCCACGATCAGGATCATGACAGCCAGATGGATTCAACTCAAAAGGAAGAGAAGTTACAATCACACAATCTGCAAATAATGCAGATCAGGAGGAGAAGGAGGAATTTTGCCGACAACTGCAATCAGTACTGTACAAGACTCCTACCCAGTTGGTGAGATCAAAACTCTAATGGGTGGGGGGGCATGAATGCCAAACTGGAAGCGGGCAACACATGAGGAGAACCGATTATGGGTCGAGAGGGACCCGGTGAAATGAACGAGAATGGACGACTGTTTGCAGACTTCTGTGCATTAAACGATTTGGTGATTGAAGGCACTGTGTTCAAGCACAAGGATATTCACAAAGCAAGCGACATGGATTTGATTTCACCAGACACCAGGGCACACCACACTAAAAATCAGGTCGGCCTCATCACAATGGGAAGAAAGTGGAGACTCGGCCTGCTGGACAAAAGATCAGATGAAGAAGGGGAGTGGATATAAGCTAGCATCATTCACCATCTAGTGCAGGGAAGCTTTAAGACCAAGTTGGGAGCCTTCGAAAAAGTTGGTGCTAGACCACAGTTGAAGTTGAACACCCAGAACAGAAACTGAAGAACGAAACAACAAAGGAAATCTTCACGTCAGTCATCAATACTAAATGGGAGATATCGAGCAACATCTCTGAAGAAACCTATGTGTATGAACAGTGGAACTCTTTGAAAGCTATGTGGTAAGAATCCTTCATAACCGTGGGAGGAAGGAAGAAGATAAGGAGTAGATCTCAGCAGACACTTGGAAGCTGATGGAGGAGTGGAAGTTGGTGAAGCAGGAGCTAATCCTACGCAAGGATGAATGACGAGAAGAGGAAGTGTGTACAATGCATAAAACACTAGGCAAAGAAGTGGAGAAGAGTGCGCCGAAAAACAAAAGACACTTCCACGACACATTGGCAAGTGAAGCAGAACAGGCTGTTGGTAGGATAAATAGAGATAGAGAGAGATAGATAGAGATAGAGACCTGACAACATTGTATCAGATAAACAGGTTACTATCTTGGAGGGAAGAGATCAACACAGATGAAACCAATGTAGGATTCTGAACGAAATCTAACTACCAAGGATATGATGGGATGACCACTTCAAAAAGCTCTTGAATCTACCACCAATACCACCACCATCTGCAACTCATCCAGAAATACCACCCGCTGCCTGGCCAAAGAACTATCAGTAGACACAAGCCCTTCGATGAAATTTGAAGTCCTTAACGCCATGAAGTTACTGAAATCCGTGAAAGCAGCAGTTCCAAATGGAATCCCACGAGAGGCACCGAGAACAGACGCAGAAACATCAGCGGATACGCTGACACGACTACTGAAGAAGATCTGGAATGAAGGAAAGGTACCTGCCTGTTGATTGGAGGAATGGCAACCTTATTAAACTCAAGAAGAAGAGCTATCGAATTTTTTGCAAGAACTGGCACGAAATCACGCTCCTGTCCACCCAAAGCTAGCAGAATATAACACGGCATCATCCTAAAGAGATTAAACGATGCGCTGGATTTAAGATTAAGACCAGGACTAACTGGCTTCAAGAAGCACAAATCGTGTCTGGATCAAATTGCAACACTACGCATCATCATACAATAGAGCAGAGAATGTTAGTCAACTATCTACCTTTCCTCAACCCTATCGACTTTGAAAAAGCCTTCCACAGCGTCGATCGAGAAGTAATTTGGCAACTGCTCCAACACTACTGAATACTATAAACCTTTATCAACCTCACTCAATAATTATATAAAGACACCACATGCCAAGTTATTCACAATGGGAAGCTCAGTGATGCTTTCGAAGTGAAGACAGGAGTGAAACAAGGTTGCCTACTATCACCGATGATTTTCTTGATTGTGATGGACTAGATCATGCAACAAACAGTGAGGAGCAAGAAGAGGGGAATATGCTGGATGGGGAAAAGATCCTAGAGGATTTGGATTTCGCCAATGATGACTTGTGTCTAATGACGCAAAAAACTCGAAGATGTACAGGCGAAAACTAACAAGTTGACAGAAGAAGCAGGGCAGCGAAAACGGGACTCCAATCACCATCAACAGGAGAAACTTGAAGGAAGTAGCCTGCTTGACCTATCTTGGCAACTTCGTTTCAACTACACGCGGCACAGAAGAGGACTTCAAAACTAGGATCAGAAAGACTACAAGATAAGCGTTCATTAACCCGAAACCAGTGTGGAGATCTTCTGCACTCACCACAAAGCGTTGACGAGATCCCGATTTTCAACACCAACGTCAAATCAGTGCTTCTGTGTGATGGTCGAGAGACTTGGCGCGTTACAAAAAACAACTTCCAACGAACTGCAGACATTCATCAACAACTGCCTACGCTCACTCATTACTGAAGATCAGATGGCCAGAACAATAGGAATAAGCAACAAGGAACTCTGACGTGATAACGAACCAAGCAAGAAGCTATCGCTCAACAAATATGCATTGGAAGGAGGTGGAGATGGATTGTGCATACACTGAGAAGTCCGACTGGGGACATCAGGCGCCAGGCCAGTCCATCGAGTGGAACCTAGATGGGAAACGACGAGTTTGGCTTTGGAGTGTAGGGTGACATGGAGGAGATGGTGTGAGGAAGAAATGAGGTGTTGTGTGCAGTCGATTTGTCAGGTTCAAAAGACTGCTGAGTATAGAGTGTACTGGAGGCATGTTACTGAACCCGTATTTTGGATTAAGTGTCCACGGGGCAAATAACATATATAATGATAACAAATTGCATTACCACGTTACATATTTGAGTAATTTTTCGGTCACAGGACTTTGGCTTCAATAGAACGTCCTTTCAAAACAACCCAAATTACCACAAAAATATTCTTCAGTCCACAATATATATATATATATATATATATATATATGTATATATATATAAATATATATATATACATAAATTATTGTGATGCGTGGACTCTGTCGGCAGCCTACATTATTAATTAGGATAATGTGAAATCTTATGACAAGTCTGTCATAAACATCACATCTTGCGAGTTTGATTTAGTTCAGGTAGACTGATATCAGTAGCACTGAACATAAAATGTTCACTTTATGAGTTTGTAATACTCTTTTTATGGTGCAGAAGATGCAGCATATCCTGTTTCAACTCACCAAGCCGTTTATATGAAGAACAAGGGCTAACACAGATGTGAATTTTATATTCAAAGACTGCTTCGTGCCCCGATTCATATGCGTAATGAAATATTTCTGGACAAGCAGTAGTGGATTGCTTACAAGGAAATAACCTACTGGAAGCAAGTTTTTCCATCACCAGTTTTCTATTATTATTCAAGTTACCTCTGCAAGGTGGATTGGATGAAAGTTTGGACCGCTAGGACGCTCAAACGCATTGTCCACATTGATACTGTGGTACGCGAGGCACCGCATAATCCCTACAAAAAGGACACTAAGACAGATGACTAGATAAGTAGATTGAGCTGTCATCAGAAGTGTTATATGGAAGCATGTTACAAACCGCATGTGATACAGAGGAAACTGAACTTGGTAGGAACATTTAGCGGATACTGACAGTACTTGAATCCTTGACTTAATGTGTGGTTGCGCCTACTTCATGATAAGGTATGTTCAATTCGGGCACAGCACGACTATGAACAATAGTTAAAAGGGACATGGAATGTCTTCTGCAAGGTGATTTCTCTGGCATGTTTTTTTTTATGGAATTTAGTATTTTTTGAGTACTTTGCAAAACTTAAAACGCGTATGTTAACTTCAGTAGTCAATTTACCCGTAAAATGGTCACCGCTGAATGTACTTCATATTAATCGCTCTTTATGAGCACTGTAAATAAATTTAATAAATTTAGGTTAATTCTGTTAAATAAAATCATCTTCATGTTACGTATAACCTTGAAACAACTCAGAATGCCTCTAAATGCGAATAAAATGGAATAAAATAAAAGGTTTCAATCTGCAGTGTACTCGTAGGTGATTAAAATCTGATTTTAGCTTTCTGCAGATGAATTTTGCAGATTTTTGGTTCTCCAAACTGCATAGTTCTGTTATTTTTTTCTGTAATAATTTTGATCATCATTGCTTTTAATTTGCTATTATTGTTTTTTTCAATTAGCTTTACCAAAGTAAAACATTGCACTCCTAAACTTTTGTACATTTTCATTGACATGCATTATTTCATTCATAATTCATTAACTTCTGACCTTTTTCTAATTTAGATGACATTGAATTCTTTTCCCATTAGAATACAGAATCTACTACCATTTTATTAAATGTGGTAGCCTTTACCGGTTGACTGCATTTGACTGAATTCTTGTTCATATGATAATTTGTTAATCAGGGCAAACAGAAAGTGAATGAATTTACCACATAGGTGTTAGAATATAAGTTACGGAAGGATAGTTTATGGTGTTTCAATCTAGAACACTAAATACTTTGTGATTAGTACTGGATGAGGTATAACTATGAGTTTCTTCTAAATTGAACTTTTGAAAAATTGAAGCTGGATGACATTCTGTGTACAGACTTTTAACAAACTGAGTAAAAGATCACTTAGCTGCACTACTAACAAAATTACGCAATTTCATCCGTGTTGGCTAGTGATAAAATCAAAGGCATGTGTTTAATCCTATCTTCATCTTGTCAGCTGGATGTATCTATGTCCTATAAGGTGATCGTACTACCGCAAAAACTCAAACACTATCACCTGAAACCCTAGATCTTTGTACACTCGACTACTGATTTAAGGCGGCCACGGCATAATCATCGAGGATCATGTTTTATCCAATGATACTTGTGATTTCAAGTTGGTTATCATGCGCGACCGCATCGAACGTTCTGACAGCCATCAGTAAATAAAGAATTAGGTAAGCGATTGCTTTCACACCAAGGGTTGCAAGAAAGCAGTTCTTGTCAGGTCACAGTTACCTGATTCTGCCGCTTCAAAACGTTATGTGATTTAGTGGGTTGAAGATTATTAGGTTTCCGATATACACACGATTATGAACAATTGCCTATAATTTGACAATAAAATTATGTTAAATATCAGCTATTGAAGTTCATGGCGACATAAATGTTTAGGTGCAAAACCAAAGCCATGTATTTTGAATGCTATACTCTTTGTCACCAATGCAGAATGTCATCTTTATGTATTGATGTAAAGCTTTGTTGAAGATAACGCCTAGACTGCAGTTTAAATGAAGTGAAATATTTTATAAGACTTAATAATGAATAGCACGATTTAAAACAATTACTTCACGAATCAGTGCATGATGATAATCGTTGAATACCATCGAATTTGAACTGAAGTTGTCAATGCAGCTGTGGATATGGTAATTGTTAGTTACTCAAGCAAAAATACTTTGTAATTGATTACAATACGCTAATGCTTGCCTAATCACAATAATTTTTAGTAAAAGTAAATAAACCTGCCTTGGTACTATTGTGTTTTCTCAACTGAGTTGTTAAGTCGTGGAGCTTCCATCGTCTTTCTAGACGACTTCTTCAGCTCTAACTTCAGCATGAATTTTTGCACAAGAAACAAAGTGCTTTTGCAAATCTTTGTCTGCACGCTTTGTGCTGAAATACAAAGTTTGATCGTCGGCGGAACAGGTGATAATTACGATCCAAAAAATAAAATGCAAAAGATAATCAGTGGGCAAGATGGTATACAAAATGCTGTTGAACAATTATTATCTAAAATTATGAAATTTATTAATGTTAGGGATTACAGGCTGCTGAGACCGAAAGAGTTGTGAAGACTCTAAGTTTAGAGAAGGAAAAGTCCTAGACAGGAACTACCTTATTTCAGCCCAGCTAAAATTATTTAGGCCTTACAGTTGTCGGCCGCAGCACAAAAACAGAATTACTCTTTAGTTGGTTCAAGGCACTGCTACAGACGTTTGAGCACAATGCTTACTTGTGAAGTAATATTCGCTGAAATATTTTAAGAGAAAATGGCTAGCTGCTTTCATAAATCACCTTTAACTGAGTTCATTTCAAATCCAGTATGTTAAAGGTTGAGACATGGAAAACTTTATCCACGTGTT